CGTCTTTATAATGTGTTTAATATAAGCAACTAGACCCATTGGAAGCGAGAGCGCAGAATATTTGATGCTTGCACACATCCCGCGTTTTCGTCTAATCATTTCTGTTCGTGCTCATTTTTCTCGCGTCAGCTTTTCCGACTCAAAACTTCTAGCCGTTCTAACATTGCTAAAAAAAGAAGGTTCATGTGAAGGTACTATGAAAGGATTTCGTCCATTATCATTAATGAACATAGACTATAAAATTCTATCCAGAGTTCTTAGTTTAAGGCTTCGGAGAGTTATTTGTAATTTAACAATGTTAAGATGGCGTTGAGAAATTTCGGTTGGAAATGTCCTTTCTCCATCGTTACGTTTACCATCTTCACATAGTGTTCGCCAATAAAAGGGAAAATCACTTTCCATACGTCGACTGTGATTCCATCTTCACCGGGTGATTTTCTGAGCGGCATACTCTTGAGTGCTTCATAACACTCAACGATTGTTATATCTCTATCTAAACTCTACTGTTCTTGATCACTAATTGTAGGTAGGCCATCGAAAAGTTCACTCCATACGTGATTGTCTATAGGTTTCCGACTATATAACTCTTGATAGAAAGAAGTAGCGACGTCCAACATTTCGGATTCAGTAGTGACTCGACCTTTTGTAGGGTGAAGTAGGAAGGAAGTTTGTGATTTATTTGACCTAACATTGGCTAAAGTGGATACCCAGAGACGTAGTGCTATATAATTAATATACTTTTATATCTAATGTAAATAACTATATGAAAAATTACAAAATTTTAAATAAAACCAAATTCGGAAACTCTGTTGTGGTTTTGCAGAACTTGTATTATATTTATCGCATCTTATAGAGGAAACAATTCTGCCCAAGTCTGACATACTTTCAAACCTTCCGAATGTGTGATTAGTGCGGCTTAAATTCTGTAGCCTAATATTATGTTTTAGTTCATATGATATTTCGACCTTACACCAGTCATTTTCAGGCACAACTAGCAGTAAAAGCTTTCACATAATATGTACATAGAAAATATAAGCTGTAATGATTGAATTAATACAGTGCCATTTCAAGAAAAAATTTTCTTTCTACTTATCTGGTTTTTTTCTGGCTTGTGCATAGATTTAACAGAATGATAATTTTCTTATCTATCTTATATAGTTTTTCTCCTTTCCGTCTGCAGCACAGAAAAGAGCAAAAAACACGTACAATGTAAATGCAGTCCAAACGTTACCTATTTCCTACTTTTTCAATCTAAAAAATTTCATATTTTACCGGTTTATATCTTCATTTTGAACTTTTCTAAAGCAGAATTAAATTATTGAAGTAATTGAAGTACATTTAGAGAGTAGCTATAGAACAGTTTTAAGTCAGTGTCAAAGAGTCGCTATTTCCTCTTATTCTATTGATAGTCATGTAACGTAGGCTTCGTTTATTACACGGTTTTATTAGAAAACATGAGACAGAAGTTCTAAAAAGGCTGAATTCGTCGTCCGTTGATGAAGACTGATTGGGGTAAACATGGTACAGAAATATAAAGGACGGAAAGAAAATACGGCCGGCGTCTTTTCCTTACACTATAAAACACTTATTCACTTCATATTTGTTATCTTTAGACTGCTCACTTCCGTTTTCATCATTAATGGTACGTATGACATTGTTTCGCATTTATTATTAAGATAATAAATCACTATAAATTAAATCGGTATAAGAAGAAAGTCGATTATTTAATATTAGTAAACAAAGCATTATTGAAAAAGCCAGTGTTAAAAATGCCATTTTTCCGCTGTTTCGCTAAAGGTCTCATAAATGACTTTTAGTAGCTTGTTAACAGCCATTTTACTGTAACAGTTATTTGAAAAAGTATTGAGAGTCAAATGTGTCTTTTTCAAATGTCTGAGCGAAAGCGAGCATAATTAGTGCTCTCATCTAGATTACTATTTTTCTAACGATGGAAAAAATGAATTTTGATAAAGGTTCGTAGTTTCTATTCCACTGGTTGATTCATCACTTTGTTTTATCAAATATAAGGGCATCCAGCATATAATGATATTCTTCTTGTAGGAAATATCGGCATTAGAATCAAGTCTACCAAATGAATTGTATGACTTTATTTTTCTCTATTTAAAATCTATTGATATTATTTATTCATTTTTCAATTTAAATCATCACTTTAATAATCTTATTTATCCATTTTTATGCGCAATAGACTTATCCAATGTCGATGAATGTACGTTGAAGAAGTATTGTAGAACAATTTTACCAAAAATTCATCATCATATCAAAGCAATTAGAGTTGATGATAAGAACATTAACGCTGTTTTTCCATTATTTTTATATTCTAAAATATATCCGAATCTTGAATCAGTTTTTATAACGGAAGCTAAAACGGATGGCAAACATTTATTATATTTAAAATTGTTTAAACAATTATTAAATTTAAAAATTTATTTTGGTACAGAACAACATGATGAAAGTGTATTAATTGAATCATGTTCAAATCTATTTCAAACTGGTTGTGGATTACAAACATTAGTTTTTGAGAATGTTTATGTACCCATCAATACTCATATCATTGAACGATGTTTTTCTATTAGAAAATTAACAATAAAAGTACATTGTTGCGATAATGTATATGTTCTATTAAACAACTTACCTTCAATCGAATCTGTAACTATTGACATACCCTATATTCGAGAACAAGAGCAGCAGCCAGAACAAGAACAAAATGGCGTCCAATTTAATAATAATAATAAAAGTGTTCCTTCAACATTATCAAAATTAAGATATTTTGTATTCTCTTCCATGTCTGTTGTTAATTATGATTATTTAGAACTGTTATTATCTCACTGTTGCTTTAATCTGGAACACTTATCATTGGTTTTATGTATTGATCAATTTATTGATGGTGAACGTTTCGAAAAGAAGTTATTATCAAAACTAACAAAATTGGAAGTATTTCATTTTTGTTTTCTGATTCCAGTTGTCGATAACAAATTAAACATAGACGATTATATCCAAACATTCAAATCGAGTTATTGGATTAATAATAATCATTCGATCTTATGTTTTAATCAATCGCTGCTCAATCAGTATTATTGTGTATTTTCATTACCCTATGTGTTCCATACGTTCCCTTGTTTTTCAAATGATCTAATTAATTATCGAACAAATGTCAATGATGACAGTTTGTTATACAGTAAACAAAACAGAGCGATACAAATTTCTTTATATGATACTGTTCCGTATACTTCAGAATTATTCCAGATTATCCAAAAATCATTTTTAAGAGCAAGTGAACTAATTTTTGTGAACGCTCCTGTTCGTTGTTTAAGTGATAATTTACTGAATAATGAATTGATGATGGAAAACATTGTCTCAGTGACCTTTCTATTCGACCAATTAGAATTTGAACATTTCAGACTGCTATTATTAATGACACCAAACATTCTAAGGTTACGCATACCACAGAGGGTAGTGTTGGATGTATTGAGAAATTCAAAAGACTCTTCTTTTCAACAATTACGATCAATATGTAATCGGATAAGATATGTCGGTATTGGGAGTCGTTCACTTGGATTCGATGCTTTAATGTATTTTCGTATAGCACGGTTATTTCCAAAGGCTAAGTTTTCAGGATTGAGATAAACGTTCAATTGGACCGATGTCGAAATTTTCATTTGTTTTCAAAAAAACTAGACATCGTTAATGAATAAACTTTGTTTTAAAATTACTTATTTCCATTACATTCATTGTGATCATCACAGCTTATATTTTCTATGTACATATTATGTGAAAGCTTTTACTGCTAGTTGTGCCTGAAAATGACTGGTGTAAGGTCGAAATATCATATGAACTAAAACATAATATTAGGCTACAGAATTTAAGCCGCACTAATCACACATTCGGAAGGTTTGAAAGTATGTCAGACTTGGGCAGAATTGTTTCCTCTATAAGATGCGATAAATATAATACAAGTTCTGCAAAACCACAACAGAGTTTCCGAATTTGGTTTTATTTAAAATTTTGTAATTTTTCAGTAATATCAAATTTTTCACTTCATTTTTGAGTTTTCACTTTGAGTATTTATCTACTGATAAAACCATGAAACCCAGTTTGCAATTTTTGATAGGCAGGTGGACATATGCTGTAGAGGTGATCGGAATGTATAAGCCGCGATGATCACAACGAGATGGCAGTGGTTCATTAATACAGCGAATAATAGAGTATTCACAATACATTATTTTTAATCGTAGATAACTTCAAGTGATTCAAATATGGATTTCTAGATTATTCTCGTTTAAGTATTATAAATGAGGAAATATTCTACGTGAAAATTATGCGATTATGCTATCATCAGCTTTATACCATAAATTATCAGGAGATTTCACGTAGAAATAATAATGTCCACAGTCTTTTGTATCTCCTTCGTGAATAACAACGGCATATAAACAGTAAATTAATGAACGATTATTTTGAATATTAACATGTATTTTTTTGTGTTTTTCACATAAATATGACGTAGGACGCAGTGATCATTATAAGAGAAGTTTTGTAATTGGCGCCTGATCCTTGCTAAATTAGTCATAAATTTTAATCACACATCTATCATAAAATAAAGAAGATAAGCTCAGATAATTTATAGCAACAGACCAATTTATTTTTGAACTAACTTAGTGTAAAAATATTCAACAATGTCTCATAAGCGGTTAATATATATAATCCTAAACGACGAATGAAACTTGAGTGTAAATATTTGGAAGACATGGGTGATATTAAACATAAATGGGTATAAACTTCAAAGAAATCCATACCTTATAAGTAACCTTTAACAAATATGGTCACTTGAGTACAACACTTAAGACACTCTATATCGAGTGCTCACAAGGTTGCTGAACATCTCCTATTAACGAAATACCTCGAAATCAATTAGCCGTGGTGTATGACTTACTTAATGCCAAACTTTTTTCATACGATCTTACGGCCCGGATTCAATTCCTGCTCCACTCGTTATATCCTTTTGCTTCCCTTTATATAACATTTACTTAATTTGTGCAACGATTCCCTGGTTCGTTGGACACAACGCCACCCTTGATGGACACAGGTAGAACGCAACCAGCTCTGCAAAATCTACGCTGCACTTTTCTCTTTTCATCAAATCGTTAATAAGAAAATCGCTAACAACTTTCAGCACTATATACGCCGTATTGAGCAACGTTAGAAAAAATGAATAAATTGTGTAACGATTGGGTACATCGGTAGACAGAACGCCACTCTTGATGGACCCAGGTAGAACCCAACCAGCTCTAGAAGATCTGCACTTCCCCTTTCTCTTTTTATCGAATCGCTAATGAGAAAATCCCAATTACTTTCAGCACTATATATCCCTCATACAGCAAAGTGAGAAAAATTGAATACTTTGTGGAACGATTCCCTGCTTCGGCGTACACAACGCCATTCGTGATGGACACAGGTAGAACCCAACCAGCTCTACAAGATCTACACTTCCCCTTTCTCTTTTCATCGAAACCTTAATGAGAAAATCGCTAATTCCTTTCAGCACTATATATGCCGTATATAGCAAAGTGAGAAAAATTCAATAATTTGTGTAACGATTCCCTGCTTCGGCGTACACAACGCCACCCTGGATGGACCCTGGTAGAAGCCAACGAGCTCTACAAAATCTACACTTCACCTTTCCCTTTTCGTTGAATCGTTAATGAGAAGATCGCTAATTACTTTCAACGCTATGTATCCCGTATACAGCAAAGTGAGAAAAATTGACTAATTTGTGCAAACATTCCTTGCTTCGCTCGACACAACGCCACCCTTCATGGACACAGGTAGAACGCAACCAGCTCTGCAAAATCTACGCCGCACCTTTCTCTTTTCATTAAATCGTTAATAAGAAAATCGCTAACAACTTTCAGCACCATATACGCCCTATTGAGCAACGTTAGAAAAAATGAATAAATTGTGTGACGATTAGGTACATCGGTAGACAGAACGCCACTCTTGATGGACCCAGGTAGAACCCAACCAGCTCTAGAAGATCTGCACTTCCCCTTTCTCTTTTTATCGAATCGCTAATGAGAAAATCCTAATCACTTTCAGCACTATATATCCCTCATACAGCAAAGTGAGCAAAATTGAATAATTCGTGCAACGATTCCTTGCTTCGGTGTACAGAACGCCATCCTTGATGGACACAAGTAGAACCCAACCAGCTCTAGAAGATCTGCACTTCCCCTTTCTCTTTTTATCGAATCGCTAATGAGAAAATCGCTAATTCCTTTCAGCACGATATATCCCGTATACAGGAAAGTGCGAAAAATTGAATAATTTGTGCAACAATTGGCTGCTTCCGTGGACACAACGCCAGTCTTGATGGGTTCCACCTGTCTCCATCAGGGGTGGCACTGTGTCCACCGAAGCGGCATCAAATCGTTAACGAGAAAATCGCTAACTACTTTCAGCACTATATATGCCGTATGGAGCAACGTCAGAAAAAATGAATAAATTCTGTAACGATTGGCTGCTTCGGTGTACAAAACGCCATCCTTGATGGACACAGGTAGAACCCGACCAGCTCTAGAAGATCTGCACTTCCCCTTTCTCTTTTTATCGAATCGCTAATGAGAAAATTGCGAACTACTTTCAGCACTATATATCCCTCATACAGCAAAGTGAGAAAAATTGAATACTTTGTGGAACGATTCTCTGCTTCTCTGTACACAACGCCATCCGTAATGGACACAGGTAGAACCCAACCAGCTCTACAAGATCTACACTTCCCCTTTCTCTTTTCATCAAATCGTTAATGAGAAAAGCGCTAATTACTTAAAGCACTGTATATACCGTATAGAGCAAAGTGAGGGTATTGCACCACAATACTCAAGATGATTGTGCAATATTGCGTATATAAATACTTCGGTCTTTCTTCGTTAAAGGGAGAGAGTCTCTTTTCTTTGTACATCAGCTACTACTCATTCGTATCAGTTCATATTATATCTGAACAAGCTTTTGTTAATAAAACATGAAAACATAATTCATTGTTGGCGCTGATACAAAGGAGAATACAAGTTACGTATAAAACGCTACGTGACAACTGGAGGTTCTACCAATTGAACTCTTGGATTCAAGTAAGTGTATAAATTATTAGTTAACAGTCCTTTGTGAGGCTGGACACCCGAAAAAGAACAGCAACTCAACGACAACCAGCAATTCA